AAAAAGGAAAACAAATGAAATAATTGATAAATTACAAAATTTTGTTATTAACATTTAAAAAATTAAAAAAAAACAGTTTTTTTTTTAAATCGTGACTAAAGTTACATAAAATCATCAGTTTTCCTATTTTTTATGATAAAATTTTAATTGGGACACCCTGTCTGTTTTAATTACTTTCGTAAAACTAGTAAATTGCTGTTCTGTGGTCTCGAAAGTGTTATCTACTACTCTTTATCCTCGCTAATTCTACTATCTACGAACTGTACTAAGCAAAGGAAGGAAGGATTTAATGGATAAAGGAAGTATTAACTCAATCCTGTATGAGAATTACTTGCAAATCACTTTATTTGTAAGAACTAAATTTTTTTAAGCAAAAAAATCAATCGAAAAGTGCCGGGAGCAACTTTCTGTTTTATTTATTTTATTTATTTATTGGTAAATTTCAGCAACTAACAATTTTTTGTTCTCTTTTAATCAAATGAGCCGGAAACAATAATATTATTGTTGGATTTAATAAAATTTGCTGAATTTTTTAATGCAGTGAATTAATTAACTTAATTTTGTTAAATTTCTAAAAACTACAACCGCTCGTCTATTGATTTTTCCCACTTTGGTGCAAAATTTTTTTAAATATTTGTAAAAACAAAATCTAGGTACAAAAGTTTCAAAAGTAAGCGAGTTTTTAGTAGAATACGATATTATATGTTCTTTTACACATTTTTTGTATTTTTATATTTCTACGTCGTTACGTTCTTACGTTTCTGTTTTGAATGTTTGCGTTCATTTATGTTTATATTCTGTTATTTTTTTAAATTTAATGGATAAAGAAAGTATTAACTTAATCCTGTATGAGAATTACTTGCAAATCACTTTATTTGTAAGAACTAAATTTTTTAAGCAAAAAAAAATCAATCAAAAATTGCCGGGAGCAACTTTCTGTTTTATTTATTTATTGGTGAATTTCAGCAACTAACAATTTTTTGTTCTCTTTTAAGCGAATGAGTCGGGAACAATAATATTATTGTTGGATTTAATAAAATTTGCTGAATTTTTTAAAGCAGTGAATTATTTAACTTAATTTTGTTAAATTTCTAAAAACTACAAACGCTCGTCTATTGATGTTTCCCACTTTGGTGCAAAATTTTTAAAAATATTTTTAAAAACAAAATCTAGGTACAAAAGATTCAAAAGTAAGCGAGTTTTTAGTAGAATACGATATAATATGTCCGTAAGTTCTTTTCTATTTATTTGTCTCAAAAAAAATGTTTTGATTCTGTTACACATTTTTTGTATTTTTATATTTCTACATCTTTACGTTCTTACGTTTCTGTTTTTATTGCTTGCGTTCATTTATGTTTATATTCTGTTATTTTTTTTAATTTAATGGATAAAGAAAGTATTAACTTAATCCTGTATGAGAATTACTTGCAAATCACTCTATTCGTAAGAACCAAATTTTTTTAAGCAAAAAAAAAATCAATCGAAAATTGCCGGGAGCAACTTTCTGTTTTATTTATTTTATTTATTTATTGGTGAATTTCAGCAACTAACAATTTTTTGTTCTCTTTTAAGCGAATGAGTTGAGAACAATAACATTATTGTTAGATTTAATAAAATTTGCTGAATTTTTTAATGCAGTGAATTATTTAACTTAATTTTGTTGAATTTCTAAAAACTACAAACGCTCGTCTATTGATTTTTCTCACTTGGGTGCAAAATTTCTAGTTGGAGAAATGAATCGTCAAATTTTTCCACTTTATCACTCTCGAAATCATGCTTCGACGACACTCTCCGCCCCTTTCCAAGCTTTCGATTTGCCTACATTAGCACCGACAAGTGATTAATAGGACGTCGCCTCGCCGGAGGATTCCGGGTTGGGAGCGAGCAACTGTTTCTTTTCGTTTAGTGCGAAAACACGCGAGGTGGTGCCGTGTCAGTGCTAATGATTCCATTTTTTTTCTTTCTGTTGTGTGTCTTGAAGTGTGGTGGTGGCGGGAAAAGCGACACCAGGGGGAAATTTGAATAATGCGGAATCCCGAAGTAAATTGACAGCTGACACAATAACTTCATTCGAGATGTCTGTTTGGATTTCGCGCAATCGGCCGAGTTTATGAATTAATGCAGAATTTTATCGATTGCGGTGGTCTATTTTTAAAGTAAGATTATTTAGGGAGAAAATCGATCACATTGCAAGTGAAAAGAATTTTTTTTCAGAGTGTGTATGAAAGTTGTTAACATATTTACAGTCATGCAATACAAGCGATAATTTTCATACCTTTCATGACTTTTTCAATGATTAATTATGTGTTTCACACATTGTGCTATCAGATAAATATACTAAGAGACGTTAGAAATGGACCAACACGAAATTATAAAGAAAATGTTACTAATTTTGCCATTTACTTGCCAACTTTTATTTATTTTAGTGTCAAAAATCCCAATTCTTTACAAACTGTTACTGTTATTAAAAGTATATTAACACCAGCAAATGTTATTACCTTGTTGAGATTTACTTAATAAAAAATTAAAAGATTAACTTTTGCTGTTTATTTAAATAAGTTTTCATCTCAAATATATATGTATAAAATTACATAAACATTTATGCATCACAAGTATTTAAAAAATAAAATATAAAAGTGAAAAAAGCTCGGCTCCGCCTCGGATAGTAGTTATTTAATAAAATTTTAATACTTAACTTGCAAATATGCTAATTAAAAAAATACCAAAAACCGGTTAATTGGCGTTGTTTATTTAGATAAATTTAATTCATATCTGGTACATCTACAGTATTATAAAAGTATATTTTTAATAATAATCATAGCTTTCTACTAAACTCTTTTGTAGTTTTTTTGCTGTTACTCCCGCAATAAAAAACCCGAGGCGAAGCCGAGGCTAATAGGCATGTAATTTTGAAAATGAGATGTTTTTTTAACCAACAGATTTGTTTAACATTTTTGTAAACCAATATGTGGTCAAATTTGAATCACAAGAACTAAAAAAATTTCTAAAATTACGATTTTTAAACATTAAAATAAAATATAGAAGTGAAAAGGCTAGTAGTTATTATTTAATTTTTTTATAATAATGGAAATTAAACGAAACAAAATATAAGAGAAAAACAATAAAACAAAGAATTAAATTTTGCTGTGTATATGTTATAGTTAATTTCTAACAAGACACTCTGTATACAGGGTGATTTATAAATAGACCCCCAAAAGAAAATTACAAATAAGATAAGATACCAGGAACATTAAAAAAATGTAAAAAAAAATCTATCTATAAAAATTTTTAAGTTATCAGAGTTTAAATTTTGCACTTTGACTCTATTTATTTCTGTTGGAAAAATAATTTTACATCTTCTTTTGCTACAGAAGAGGAAACAAAAAAGCTGTATCCTAAATTGTAACAATGTTTAACGTTATTTTGTACCTTTACTAAATAATTATGAAAAAACATAGCTATACAAGTTCATAGGTAAAAATACATAAAAAAATGTTAAATGTCAAAAAATAAATGTCAAAAATTTTTGCCAGATAAATTTTTTTAAAACATTTTGGTATCTTATCTTACTTGTTACTTTTTTGGTCTATTATTTACAAAACACCCTGTATACAAAATTACACAGTAATTTTTTTTAATAATTTTAAATTTCTACTAAGCTCTCTTAAAGTCTTTTTCCCTCTTATCAAATAAAAAGCTAATTGAGGCGGAGCCAAGGTTAGTAGTGGCTAAATGTCCTAATAATAAAACATAAAACCAGAAAAAAAATTAGGAATTTTATACTTAATTTTGTAATTACCCAAAATTGAAAATAAATTGATTTTCTCATTTAAAAGTTTTATTTTCTCTCAAGTATTTAAATAAAATATACAAGGTGCGCCAGAACTCGCGCCCCAGAATAAAATGCCATATAAAATAAGATACTAGGAACATGGAAAAAAATGTTAAAAAACATTATCTACAAAAATTTCGAAGTTATCATAGTTTACATTTTGCACTTTGCCTCTATTTACTTTATTTATTTATTTTATTGAAATTAATTTTTCAAGTTTTTCAGCTACAGGCTATTAGAAGAGGAAACAAGAAAGCTGTATCCTAAATTGTAACTCTGTGCAATGTTATTTACTTATTTGTGGTTATTAGTTGCAAATTTTTTGTACCGTTACTAAATAATTATAAAAAAAAACATATACAAGATCGTCAGTATCATAAATAGACTAAAAAAAAGTCAAATGCCAAAATTTTTTGACAGAGAATTTTTTAAATATTTTTTCCATGTTCCTGGTATCTCATCTTATTTACTCTGTATAAGTGAAAAAAGCTCGGTTCTACTTCGGGTAGTAATTATTTAACTTAATTTTATATACCTTAATTTGCAATTACACTAAATAGAAAAAAACACCAAAAACCGGTAAATATGTGCTGATGAATTCACATCTGGAACACACTGTATACACAGCATATTTTTTAAAAACAATTATAAATTTTCACTATACTCTCTCAAAGTCTTTTTTGCTATTATTCCTCAATAATTTAGATAAAACATGGAAGTAAAAAGCCGAAGCGAATCCAAAATTAATAGTCATTTAATTTTGAAAATGAGATATTTTTTGATCCAAAAGATTTATTTAACAATTTTTTAAATAATTCGTATTCAAATATAATTCAATCTATAATTCTCATATAAGACGCCCTGTATATAAAATATTATACAGTATATTTATTTTTTATAATAATTTCAAATTTCTACTAGACTATCTTGAAGTGTTTTTCTCTTTTACCAAATAAGAAGATAGCCAAGGCGGAGCCGAGTAAATACGTAGAAATTCTAGTTTATTTTGTAATTAAACTAAATTGAAAAAAAATATTGGTTTTTACTATTTATTTAGATAAATTCTCATCTGGGACACTCTGTATATCCAATATTATGCAGTACATTTTTTAAAAATTATTATTATTGCTTTCTAGTGGATTCCTTTGAAGTTGTTTCGTCCTCTTACCTCCGCAAGCCTCTTTGAAATCCGGACAACAATCTCCCAACTTCAAGCATGCATGATCGCAATAGCAGGGCTTATCTGAGAGATCTTCGATGATGGCATTCAAGGGGGCTTTCTGCACCACACATGAAGAGTCCCGTCCAGGACAGCACAGTTTCGCTTCGCGACAACTACCCCCCGATACGACTTGGCCGTTCCACACGATTGTAAAACACACCACGAGCACGAGCGTTGCGAACGTCTCCATGGTGTAAATAAAAACGACACGACGAATCCCCCTCACATCCAAAGACGATGCGGACACGCCGACCGACCGACCGGCTATGATGTATATGAAGAAACGCTCCGGATTCCGGACGCCGGAGTCGGGGTGGGGGCGGCCACGTGCCCCGTCACGGGTCTACTTCTCCAAAAAGTGTTCATTTTATTGGGGATTAACGAAAAACCCGCCTTTTTATTCACAATTCCAAGAAAAAGTCAAAAAGCCCTTTGTTACACTCGTAACATCAACCGGGACCGAACATTTTTTTTTTATCAATAACAATGAAAAAAAACAGAATTTTATTTAAAAACTCCTTTTTCCCTGTTATACGAGACGCCCATGTGTATAAAAACGCGCTTAACTATAGGTGTAACCATGGCAACAAAGTTACAATAATAATAGTTGACATAGTAACAAGTGAAAAATCAGTGGCGGGTGGGTAAAAATTTTTCGACAAAAATTCATCCATACAAGCAAACGAAATGTTCGTCTGTTTCAAAAAATCACATTTATTTTTCTACGATTTTAGTTTAATTAGAAATTGAAACTTGATTCGCCTGATTTATAAAAGCGAATTTTTGTTGGTTTTTAAACTGCAGCTTTTACGTTTGCATTAATTACAACTAAATCTCTTTTCATTTTAAAATGCTTCAAAAGCGTAATGTAATAATATTGACAGAACTTTTTTAAACCGAAAAACACGACACTAGTAGAGAATAAATGATGAGAGATAACATTAAAATTTGAAATTTCAAGTTTTAACAGATGCAAAATAATCCGGAATTAAACGAAATGAACTGAAAACAGTAAAATGCACTTTGTGTAATTAACTTAAGCTTTTAAGTGCTAATCACTAAAAAGCTCTGATTAGATAATTGCCACTTACTAATTATAGAAAAATATCAGAAATACTAATACAGCTACCGTTAATCTTGCAATTAATTAAATAATTACGCAATTAACTCAAAGAAAAATGATGTAATACGTTAGGCAACCAACAATACAGTTTCATTTTTGTATTAAATAATCTTTTTTTTTTTAATATTAAAATTTGCGTAAAACTTAACCCTTATTGTTGTGTTTCTAAGTTTAGTAGTCCTTTAACTAATAATTTCCAATTATCAATAATTTGCTGTGGTTATGCAACCAACAATACAGTTTCACTTTTGTATTAAATAACTCTTCAAACTTTGGTATTTTAAAATATTAAAATGTGCGAAAAATTTAGCCCTTATTGTTGTGTTTTTTAATGTTATTAAACCGTTAATTAATAATTTACAACTATTATCATTTATCAATGATTTGATGTGTGGTTATGCAACCAACAATACACTCACTATTTTTTACACTAAAGCCCTTAATTCATTTTGCTGTAATGATAAAAACTGTTTAAAATTAACGCCTTTTTGTTGTTTTTGTTAAAATGACTAATTGTTTAAATACTTTCCAATTATCATTTTTTTGAGTCATCTCAGCTGTCACTTGTCATAACAAACGCTAAGGTTATGTTTTTCAACAAATTCCACCTCGTTCAAAATTAACAGTTAACAATTTTCACTCATTCCGTCATGACGTGACTTCACTCATCCCCAAGTTTCCCCAAACACTGTCATGAACGATTACGAAGTACCAAAAAAGTGTCTCAAAACCCCCACGATTTGCTTCGTATCGTTGCGACGTCTCATCGCCATAATCTTCGCTCTTATCACCGGATTATCAATCGTGCTACTTTGTAAATTATACATTAAGTTTATTTTACTATGGTTGGAAAATCAAGACCCTATTGTGATTTCTGCAACTTTGAGTATCCTTTTCATCCTAGTGTCTCTCCCCATCAGTATAGGGTATATAGTGTTGGTGGTGGCTGAGGGGTACCTCTTCGGGTTTACTCGAGGCTTGGTTTTGGCCATAATTGGGGCAAATTTGGGGCTTCTGGTAGCGCACAACATCCTGAGACTCGTGGGGCACCATAAATCAATCTACAAGTTCACCCAGAATGACACAGCACAAGCGATAATGAGGCTCATTTCGGGGCCCTTGTGCTTCAAAATTGTCTTCTGCTCAAGGCTGACCCCCATTCCGTTTGGACTCCAAAATACGATTTTTGCTGTAATTATTTTTTTTTGTGTGAAAATGACAAAATGTTGTTTTTTTTTGTTCCAGTTGAGTAACGTCAACGCGAAAATCTACCATTTGGCTTCCTTTTTGGGGCTCATGCCGGCCCAAGCCGTGGGGGTCTACATTGGGACCACTCTCAGATCCATGCAAGACGTTTTAGAGGATCGACCCGCTTCCACTGGAACCTATATTTTTATTTCCGTTCAGTTGGTTGTAGTTGTTGTTTTGATGCTGTGGTTCAGTGCCAAGGCAAGAGCCGAGCTGATGAGGGCTTTGGCCGAGGCAGAGGTGTCGGCCACCAAAACAGCTCATTTTTCGGTTGTGTGATATTTTATTTCAAATAAATATTTTAATAAAAGAGTGTTTGTTTTCAACCTTGAAACCACAAAAATAAAAAATACCGTTGCTCGCTCTAAATGCACATTTTAACAAAAGACCTTGTAATGAAAATATAAAAAGTTTTGAATCTTATCAAAAACTGACAAAGCAATTTTCATAATTTTGCAAATTTTTACTTTTTAAACGCCGATTACGGCGAAAATTGCCGGAAAACTGTACCTCAAAAATATAATATTTTGACATCGACATGTAAAATCTTCCGGAGAATCAATTGACATCGAAAACCGCAAATAGTTTAGAAGTTATAGTCGAATTTATATTTTCGATATTTTTGACTTTAACAGCAATTTTTTCGATAACTATTTATCGTAGGACAATGATCATTTTTTTATATGATAGATAATAATTAAATGCTTTCCAATTGTGCCAAACATAAAAGGTTATCACTAATAATTCTCGAATTATTGGCAATAAACCGCTCCGGATAATGAAAATCGACAAAATTTTGTCAAAAATTTAAAAACTGAAAACTTAAAAATTGATCGAAATACACTTCAAAAGATCTAAAAAGTGCACAAAACGTCGTAAAAACAATGAAATTAAAAATTTTTGAAAATTAATTTGAATATACAGGGTGACCCAGAGCTCCGTATTTCCTCGATTACTCTGACAGTAAAGAAGATAACGAAATGCGGTTTCTTTTGGACAATAAACATTCATTTTTACAATGATCCAAAAATATTTTCCTCATTATAGGTGATTCCTATACCGGGTGGGGCATCCGTTACGCCCAAAAAGAAAATCCCCACTTCTAATTAAATAAAATTGTTGAATTTTTTCACACTTACCTGGGCATTAGTAAGGTACATTCTCTAATTTTTTGGTAATTTTTCATTCACAAACAAAGCCAAAAAAAAATAATAATTTTCTCCCAAAAAATTTAATTCTAATTTTTATACTGAGCTACGCAGATTCACTTCCTATAATTGTTTACAAAATCAGAAAAAAAAAACTCCAATTAGATTTTGAATTAAACGCAATTTTCCATCTTAACTTTGAAAATCATTTTTATTTATGACCTGCTACTTGTGCCATCGTAAATTTAGGTGACAATGGGGAACTGCAGTTTGGGTAAGATTCCAAGGTTTACAACAAAAAGACCCTTTAAAGCGGTCGGCTACAAGTAAATGATTCTTTTGTTGGCAAATTATGCCATTTTGTCATAAATCACGGGTCTGGTTTGTGTTTAAATAAAAAAAAAGCGAATATTTGGATAACCAAGTCAAAATTTGAAATTGTGTGTAAAAATTTTATAGGTAAATTAACAGAAAGTATTCATAAAACACACAAAACTGTTACGGACTCATTTATTATCCAAAAAAATAGAAAATTTCTCAAATTATACCCTATCAATAACTTGTTAGGTATATGAAATATGGCCAGTTTTAATTAATTTGAAGTCGGGATTTATCAAGTGCGCGTAACCGATGCCCCACCCTGTATAGGATGGCGCAAAAAAGTTATATTTTTTCTTATGGAACACCCGGTATATTATTTGAAAGACTTTTTAATTCTAAGAAAATCCATATTAGGTTTTATGGATCTATCATGGACCGTTTATTGTTTATGGGCAATTTTATGAAAAAAAATACCATTTTTGAAAAATCGCAGCGGCTTTACTAGAAAGAAAATGTGAATAAAAACAACTGCAACAAAGTCTGGTCCTAAATAATTATGATTGAAATTCGATCAATCTTTTTTAACTATGTACTACAGAGTGATGCTGATGACATTCGCAAAATATCAAGAAAATAGATTTTTTGAAATGAGACACCCTGTGTGCTATTACTTTATCGTGTAGGGCATAATAAAAGAGCATAAGCATAAGTATAAGAACAAAGCATGAGAGCGGCATAAACATGAGTGCTTTTTTATCGTAAAATATCAAAACGTCAAGTAAATTTAATCTTATTAGGAGTTCTAGGTACAGAAAATTGAGCAAAACCTCAACAAAAATCTTTAAAATCGTTTAAAATTTTACCAAATACTCGTAAGGTTTCTCTAGAGTTCCTAGAAGCTCAAAACAGTGCATAAAACGTTATTGTAATTTTGAAGGCAAATTCGGTAGTAAATCGTAAAAGTTATCGATCAATTTTAATTTTTTTAATTTATTTATCATTTTTTTGCACTTTTAATGGTCCTAGACTCAAAAAAAATCAATTGATCTTAACTTTGTAGTTGTAAATCCCCCAAAAATCGTAAAAATTCTGCTCAAAATGGAGACCTTGCAATTCTAATTTCAAAATGCTTGTAAGTTTCCTTTCAACAAAACACTTCCAACTAATAAATAACACGCCAACATTAAATTAAATGATCGAAAATAGCCACTTCCTAATAATTCCTCGAATCTCCACTGACGGCGTGTCTTCTCTAACCAGAGCCCATGCGCATCGCCTCTTTATTGATCACAAAAACCGAAAAGGAAAAATTGAGAAGCAATGCGTTAATGCAAAATGTGGGACAAACCGACAAATTTATTTTCACTTCTTGTATTGTCATCCCTGATTTGTCTAGGATCAGGACAGGAAAAAGTCACAAAACAACACCCCGAATTACCAAATCTGTAAGTAATTATTTTCTATTAGTTACCACCAAAAAATCATATTTTTTCTAGTGCTAGAAGTTGGGCCCAAAAATTAGGAGGCGAATTGTGGCATTTCGGGGAATTAGTAACACGAAGAACAAGAGTTAATGAGGTTGATTTTAATTATTTTTAATAATCTAGACACTTAATTGTTTTTTTAGAGTTTCAAAAGGCATAGTGTTATTAAAGAGGAAAGTGGGGAAACGATTTTAAAAGCCATACATGAAAAAATCTACAATATGACCAAAGAAAAAGTGGAAGCTGTTAAGGTAAATAAAACACTAGTAATCACACTTTTTATCGTTATTTTATCAATAGAGAATAATGGATATAGCGGAAGAAGCAGCAAAAGCGCAACGAGAGGAAGACATAGATGTTAATTACCAATTTGTTAATGCCAAAAATTTGACAAATTCGGCACCAAATTACACACTAAATGACCAAGAACCACAAGAGGTGACTAATTTTTAAAAAACCAAGAAAAAATATTTTATTTAAAAAAATAGGTCCGACAAGACATCCATTACGACGACTCATTTATAACAAGCGATCGTCGATTTGAAGAAAGGTACCAAGCGATGGTACAACAAGACGAAGAGTTGGATGGGTACCAACAGGATCAAGACCAACAGGAAGAAGAAGAAGAGGAAACGGACAGTGATATTGAAGTAGGTTGAAAAACACAATTGATTTTTTCTAAATTGGATGTTTCAGATAACCAATGGGAGTGAAAAGGACCCCCAAGCCAGTCAAGTACCTCAAACTGACCGAAGCAAACTACCCCTCTATCGCAATCGAAATTTTTATAATATTCCAGTAAATACGAATTTTAGCGCTGTCCATGTCCCCAGTAATGTCTACGAGAGATGTAAGTCTTGCCACAAGGGCATTGGTATTATTATTTTTTTATGTTATTATTTTACCCATTTTACGTTACACAAAGAAGGGAGAATGAAATTTAAAATCATTTATCAACTGGCTATTTCAATTTCCTGAAAAATCAAAAGCGTTCAAAAAAATTCTGATAACAGAAATAGATTTTTAATTTCTGTTAAATAAAATAAAATCAGGATAAAAATGTTGTCATCTTGACTTCTTTTTCGCCAAGACGAGTTAAAAAACCATTAAATTTCAAATGACATAATATTTGTCTTTTTTGGTCGTTGTACATTTCTTAACTGGAAAAGTAAGTATGAATTTTGAAATTTGTTGTCAAAAATAGGCCACAGAATTACCAAACTATATAAAAAATAGTACTATTTTCAGTGTTTAAGCAAGTTTTTCTGACAAAAATTATTATTTTTTTTTTGCTAAACCAAGCCAAAAAATCATCAAATTAGGTCAAAAATTACGTTATTTTTGCTTTTACAGCACATTGTTCAATTAGAAACAAGTGTTTTGAGATATTTTATTGTCAAAAATAGACCAAATTTATTATATTAGGACAAAGGTGATGTTATTTTTACATTTCTCCAACGTTAAAGCAAGTTTTTCAACTAAAACGAAGTTTTACTAAACCGTGGTAAAAAACCACCAAGTTGAATTATAAATTATATAATTTTGGCTCTTTTTAAAATTTTAAGTATATTTTCTTATTGGAAACGCAATTATTTCGCAAAGTTTTGATAAACATAATTCAAACAATAAACATATAAAGTCAAAAACGATATAATTTTTCGCTTTTTCGAGAGTTTTTGTTCTAAAAACTAGTTTTGCGTCTTATATAAAACCAAAAGTCATCAATTTTTTACATGTTACGACCATCGTTTTTAACACGTTTTTAAATTAGAAACAAAATTATTTTGTAAAATTGTGTCAAAAAAGAATAGGTCAAAATGACGTTATTTTTGCCTTTTTCAAAAATAAGCCAAAAAATGTTTTTCAACTAAAAACTGAAATTGTTTGCAAAATTTTATTAAACCGAATCACTAAATTAAGTCAAAAATGGTACCCATAATTTTTGTTTTTTTTTTTAAATTTCAAGATTGTTTTATTTTTTGGTGAAAAATTCAATTATTTCGCAAAATTTTGCCAAAAAATAGTCGAGAAATTAACAAATCAAGTCAAAAACGAGATTATTTTTGGCCTTTCGAAGCGTTTAAGCACGTTTTTTGTTCTAAAAACTAATTTTTTGTCTTACATAAGGCAAAAACATTAACATTTTTTGAGCGTTTAAGGACATTTTTAAGCTAAAAGTTCAGTTTTTTTTTAAACTGGGCTAAGTAATCATTAAAACATTGTTAGAACCGCCATTTTTAACACGTTTCGCAATCAGAAACAAAATTATTTTGCAAAATTTTGTCAAAAAAAGCTCAAAAAACACCACATTGTCAAAAAAAGTTGTTTCAAAAATAACCCAAAAAAATGTTTTTTAACTAAAAACTGAAGTTGATTGCAAAATTTTACTAACCCGAGATAAAAAAATCACCAAATTAGGTCAAAAATAGCTTTTTTCAAATTTTTAAGTTTTTTTTTTTTTTTTTTGTTGAAAATTACATTATTTCGCAAAATTTTGCCAAAAATTATTCGAGAAATTAACAAATTAAGTCAAAAACGATATTATTTTTGGCCTTTCCAAGGGTTTAAGCACGTTTTTTGTTATAAAAACTAATTTTTTTGTCTTAGTTAAAACATCAACATTTTGTGAGCGTTTAAGGACATAAAAGCTAAAAGTTCAATTTTTTACAAAATTTCTCGGAACCGAGATAAACAATCATTAAATGACCGTTTTCAAATGTTGTAACAAGTTTTTCAATTAGAAACAAAATTATCTCGCAAAATTTCGTCAAAAAATCACCACATAAGATCAAAAATTGTGTAATTTTTGTTATTTTCAAAATTTTCTTAAACCGAGATAAAAAAATCACCAAATTAGGTCAAAAATGGTATAATTTTTGCTTTTTTTTAAATTTTAAGTTTGTTTTTTTGTCGAAAATTCAATGATTGCGCAAAAATTTGCCAAAAATTACTCGCGAAATTAACAAATCAAGTCAAAAACGATATTATTTTAGGCCTTTCGAAGCGTTTAAGCACGTTTTTTATCCTAAAAACTAATTTTTTCTCTTACATAAGACAAAAATATCAGCATTTTTTGAGCGTTTAAGAACATTTTCAAATGTTGTGACAAGTTTTTCAATTGGAAAAAAATATATTTCGCAAAATTTTGTCAAAAAAGCCAAAAAATCACCAAATTGGGTCAAAAATTGTGTGAATTTTGTAATTTTCAAAACTCTCAACAAGTGTGCTATAAGGACTCAGTTTTCTCACGAAATTTCGCATTTTTTTCACAATTAATTAAGATAATTAATTAATGCCTAGAATCTTAGACATTTAATTGTTTTGTTAGCAAAAGAAGTGATTTCTGGAATCATCTGGTCGGAACTTTTGGACAAAACCTTCAAAAACAACTACAAACTAGACCCGACATTATCTTGGCAGTATTTCGGCAGCTCGACCGGTTTCATGCGCCAATTCCCTGGTATTTAAAAAAAAAAAAACAAAAAAAATCTGCTAAAACAAACATTTCAGCCATGATTTGGTCCCAAGACCCCATCGATTTGTTCGACTGTCGTACCAGATCCTGGTACATCGAAGCAGCTTCATCGCCAAAAGACGTCATAATCCTCGTCGATAGATCTGGATCTATGACTGGAATGCGTCGGGAGATTGCCCGTCACGTGGTCCACAACATTTTAGACACTTTAGGCAACAACGACTATGTCAATATCTTCACGTTTAGCAACACAACCGATCCTTTGATTGAGTGTTTTGACAATATTTTAGTCCAGGCGAATTTGGCCAATGTGAGGGTTTTGAAAGAGGCAATGGCCGATTTTAAAACCGAACAAATCGCAAATCTCTCCCTTGCACTTGTCACAGCATTCCAGCTTTTGGAGACGTACCGGAATGAGAGCAGGGGTGCCAATTGCAACCAGGCGATTATGTTGGTCACCGATGGGGTGCAGGATAACTACATGGAGATCTTCAGGGATTATAATTGGGATAATTTGCCGTTTATTAATGTGCGAGTGTTTACGTATTTGATCGGGAGGGAGGTGTCCGATGTGAGGGATGTAAAGTGGATGGCGTGTGCTAATAGGGGATACTATGTCCATTTGAGCACTTATGCAGAAGTGAGAGAGGAGGTTTTGCAGTATATTCCGGTGATGGCAAGACCAATGGTTTTGAATGCGAATCAAAAACCGAATCCGACATGGAGTCCGGTTTATGCCGATGTGACTGATCCCAAATTGACCAATTGGTTGTGGGTCAACAGGGAGAGAAATAAACAAAGGGAGAGACTTTTGGCGTATTTTGGACGGAAAAAGACACTTCTGTCGTCTGATGAACAAGATAAGAAGTTCGTCCATCAGCAAAAACACGTAAGTTAGCTAATCTCAAAATCGGATCAAAGTTTCAAAATCAAACCAAATGTCTTTTTCGGCCTTCTTAGAGGTGCTTTGGACTCGGAAAAAGCATAAAACTTTTGAGTTTGAAAAAATAGCATTTTTTTCGACAAAATATTTTTGAATCCAGTAGAATTTGACCACATTACTAGTTTATTTTACCATTTATTTACTAACATTTCTCTATATTTTGTTAATTACAAGTTTTTATTATTATTTTTGAAATTTTTTAAGTTTATATAATTTTTAATTTTTGCAAAGACGTGACAGGAAATAATTCCAAAATATGAAAATATACAGTATGTCCCCAGGTTGCGTTTACAAGAGGAAAAGATTTTTTATCTTTGATTTTACGCCAAAACTGCAAAGGAAAAACATTTTTTGCTTCACCTGAAACGAGCAAATCTGAAATAAAAATTGCTTTATTCTGATTCATTGAAAAGAAAAGGTCATTTTTTCTCTTGATTTTATACTTTGTTTTGACAACGATGTCACTTTGACAAATGAGTTTACGCAAGTTAAATAACAAAAATGTTTGTGGAAAACATAATTTTAATAAATGGCAACTCAAAGCATAAGCTTTAAGATTAAAAAAAAACAGTAAATTTTTAACAAAAATAATCATTTCATTATTCAATTAATTAATTAATTGTCAAAGTGACATCGTTGTCAAAAAATAAAACCGTCAATGTAATGAGACTTAGAACGAATGTAGAAAAAAATTACAAGTCCAAAATCAAGAGAAAAATAAACTTTTCTTTCCACTGAGATAGAATAATGAAGTTTTAATTACAGATTTACTCGTTTCAGGTTAAGCAAAAAATGTTATTCCTTTAAAGTTTTTGCGTAAAATCAAAGATATTTTTTTTTCCTCTTGTAACCTTAGTCCGGGGATATACTGTATATGTAGTTATCTAAATTTTTTATATAATCTATTAATTTCCTTGTTCCCTTTGTCTGTTTCTTTTCGTCTTCTTCATCTTCTTCCTCTTCCGGAAAAACAATCAAATTTTGAAGGTGATTATTTAATGATTTTTTGGCCTCCTGACATGTAAATGTCAAATTAACGTACAATTGACACCTATTGAAAGACTGTATTTACAGTCGCCTGAGCATTTTACGCACAGACGAGTGTAAAGTGACAGTTTTACCGCACTGCCAAAATTATCTTCATAGACTTTTATAAAAAAAAACTGTTTGTAAGATGATAACATTTTTAATAAAACGCTCTACACACAACCTTTCAATCTTAGAACTCTTTTTTCTTCACACCACTTTATAATTATAAACACATTGTACTGGGCTTCATACCTTGCTCGCGATTTTTCGGGCAATAGCTCGGTTGTAACATTTCCTGCAGCACTTCTGATTTCTGGTGGGGTACACATGGGGCTACTATCGCTCGACATTTTGAAGCATAAATTCACCAACAAGACAACAATAACAAAACTTTGTGTCTGAGACGTTTTTGCGTCTTTTTTAATTGTTTGACATTAGAGTGCATAGCCACCGTGATATTTAATGTCAAACGTATTTACTTGTATTAATTCTGAATTTTGTAGATTTTTGTTTAAACGTCGGCCAAAAAGCTTAATACAAATCTTGTGCGTTAACCATTTTACAGTGCTCAATTATTAAAGCACTCCGCTGCGCGTCGTGCTTCAAATTCATTTCGCACTGTAAAATGTAAGTTACCGCACACGAATGTAAATAACTATTTTCGAATGCTTAAGTTTTTGAGCTTAAAAAGTTAGCTTTGTAGTGAAATTTGGCTAAATCCGGATAAAAAATCACCAACTCATGTCACAAATGACATTATTTTTGCATTTTTCTAGGGTTTTATCACGAATCTCAGCTAGAAGCTCATTTATTTCGAAAAATTTTGACAAAAATAAGCCAAATAATCAAAAAAATCATATTGAGCATTTTTTAAATAAAATATGTTTTTAGATCAAATCAAAGTGTGACTAAGATAAAAAAAAAATCCTCTTATAAACACAATTTGGGGACATGCTGTATATGTAGTTACCAGAATTTTTTATATAATGCATTAATCTCCTTGTTTCCTTTGTCTGTTTCTTTTACTTCTTCTTCTTCTCATTCTTCTTCCGGAAAAACAATCAAATTTAATTGTTTATTTACTGATTTTTTTTCGAGTGTTTAATAAGTTTTTGAACTTAAAAGCTTTCTAGTGACATTTGGCTAAATCCGGATAAAAAATCACCAACTCATGTAAAAAATAGCATTTCTCTAAAGTTTTATCACGTTTCTCAGCTAGTGTTTGAGTAAGTTTTTGAGCTTAAAAACTTATCTTTCTAGTGAGATTTGGCTAAATCTGGATAAAAAATCACCAACTTATGTCACAAATGACATTAGTCTTGCATTTTTCTTGGGTTTTATCACGTTTCAGCTACAAACTCATTTATTTCAAAAAATTTGATAAAAATAAGCCAAAAAAAATCACGAAATTCGACCAAAGATAATGTTATTTTTGCGTGTTTTTTTTTTTTTTAATAAAATATGTTTTTAGATCAAATCAAAGTGTGACTAAAATAAAAAAAAATCCTCTTATAAACTGTTTCTTTTTCGTCTTCTTTACCTTCTTCCTCTTCCGGAAAAACAATC